AAAATGTCTATTTCTTGGTAACTTATCCTATATATCCAGTGGGTGGATGGCCAATGTGTTTATACACAGGAACTTTTGGGCCTGTATCCGTTGGATTTTATGTAGGATGGGTTGTCAATAAATATACATGATTTATTTAATTGTTAATATCTAAAACATAAACAGAAAATGATTAAACAAAAGTTGTAAGATGTTCATTTCACAAGCTAAATTGGAGTTATCTCCCCTGCACTGTAAAATTGGATTGTTATGACAGAATATATGTAATGTTTGTAAATAAGTTTGGAAAGGACTTAAATAGGCCTAGCCTGATGTCCAATCCAATTGACATATATAAAGTCAATCAAATCTGATGAAATGAAATGAAGGGTTTGTACCTAACTAGCTACATGGTGCCCTGGAAGTCCTCGTAAGGGTTTCTGTTTGAGGGTTTGTACCTAACTAACTACATGGTGCCCCGGAAGTCCTCGTGAAGGTTGTGGTCGGAGGGTTTGTACCTTACTTACTACGTGGTGTCCTGGAAGTCCTGGTGAGGGTTTCTGTCCGAGGGTTTGTACCTAACTAACTACGTGGTGTCCTGGAAGTCCTCGTAAGGGTTTCTGTCCGAGGGTTTGTACCTAACTAAGTACGTGGTGTCCTGGAAATCCTCGTAAGGGTTGCTCTCCGAGGATTTGTACCTAACTAGCTTCATGGTGTCCTGGAAGTCCTCGAAAAGGTTGTGGTCGGAGAGTTTGTACCTAACTAACTACGTGGTGTCCTGGAAGTCCTCGTAAGGGTCTCTGTCCGAGGGTTTGTACCTAACTTACTACGTGTTGTCCTGGAAGTCCTCGTAAGGGTTTCTGTCCAAGGGTTTGTACCTAACTTATTACGTGGTGTCCTGGAAGTCCTCGTAAGGGTCTCTGTCCGAGGGTTTGTACCTAACTAACTACGTGGTGTCCTGGAAGTCCTCGTAAGGGTCTCTGTCCGAGTGTTTGTACCTAACTAACTACGTGGTGTCCTGGAAGTCCTCGTAAGGGTCTCTGTCCGAGGGTTTGTACCTAACTACATGTAATTACATGGTGCCCTGGAAGTCCTCATGAAGGTTGAGGTCCGAGGGTTTGTACCTAAATAACTACGTGGTGTCCTGGTTTGTACCTAACTAGCTACATGGTGTCCTGGAAGTCCTCGTAAGGGTTGCGGCCCAGTATATATGCCTACCTAAATAAATGGTGCCCTGGAGAGCCTCGTAAGGTTTGTGGTCTGAGGTTGCGGCCCAGTATATATGCCTATCTAAATAAATGGTGCCCTGGAAAGCCTCGTAAGGTTTGTGGTCTGAGGGTTTGTACCTGACTAGCTACGTGGTGTCCTGGAAGTCCTCGTGAGGGTTGCGGGCCCAGTATATATGCCTACCTAATTACATGGTGCCCTGGAAAGCCTCGTAAGGTTTGCGGTTTGAGGGTTTGTACCTGACTAGCTACGTGGTGTCCTGGAAGTCCTCGTGAGGGTTGCGGCCCCAGTATATATGCCTACCTAATTACATGGTGCCCTGGAAAGCCTCGTAAGGTTTGCGGTTTGAGGGTTTGTACCTGACTAGCTACGTGGTGTCCTGGAAGTCCTCGTGAGGGTTGCGGCCCCAGTATATATGCCTACCTAATTACATGGTGCCCTGGAAAGCCTCGTAAGGTTTGCGGTTTGAGGGTTTGTACCTAACTAGAAACATGGTGTCCTGGAAGTCCTCGTGAGGGTTGCGGGCCCAGAGTTAGTATCTACCAAACTCCATAGTGTTGTTAAAGTCCTAGTGAAAGTTGCGGGCCGAGGGTTTGTACATATCTAATTGCATGGTGCCCCGGAAGTCCTCGTTAAGGTTGTGGTCGGAGTTGTTTCTTTTTACCTAACTACCTACGTGGTGTCCTGAAAGTCCTCGTGAGGGTTTCTGTCCGAGGGTTTCTACCTAACTAACTTCATGGTGTCCTGGAAGTCCTCGTAAGGGTCTCTGTCCGAGGGTTTGTACCTAACTAACTACGTGGTGTCCTGGAAGTCCTCGTAAGGGTTTCTGTCCGAGGGTTTGTACCTAACTTAGTGCGTGGTGTCCTGGAAGTCCTCGTAAGGGTCTCTGTCCGAGGGTTTGTACCTAACTACATGTAATTACATGGTGCCCTGGAAGTCCTCGTGAAGGTTGAGGTCCGAGGGTTTGTACCTAACTAGCTACATGGTGTCCTGGAAGTCCTCGTAAGGGTTGCGGCCCAGTATATATGCCTACCTAAATAAATGGTGCCCTGGAGAGCCTCGTAAGGTTTGTGGTCTGAGGTTGCAGCCCAGTATATATGCCTTCCTAAATAAATGGTGCCCTGGAAAGCCTCGTAAGGTTTGTGGTCTGAGGGTTTATACCTGACTAGCTACGTGGTGTCCTGGAAGTCCTCGTGAGGGTTGCGGGCCCAGTATATATGCCTACATAATTACATGGTGCCATGGAAAGCCTCGTAAGGTTTGCGGTTTGAGGGTTTGTACCTGACTAGCTGCGTGGTGTCCTGGAAGTCCTCGTGAGGGTTGCGGGCCCAGTATATATGCCTACATAATTACATGTTGCCATGGAAAGCCTCGTAAGGTTTGCGGTCTGAGGGTTTGTACCTGACTAGCTGCGTGGTGTCCTGGAAGTCCTCGTGAGGGTTGCGGCCCCAGTATATATGCCTACCTAATTACATGGTGCCCTGGAAAGCCTCGTAAGGTTTGCGGTTTGAGTGTTTGTTCCTGACTAGCTACGTGGTGTCCTGGAAGTCCTCGTAAGGGTTGCGGGCCCAGTATATATGCCTCTAAGTACGTGGTGTCCTGGAAATCCTCGTGAGGGTTTCTGTCCGAGGGTTTCTACCTAACTAACTTCATGGTGTCCTGGAAGTCCTCTTTAGGGTTTCTGTCCGAGGGTTTGTACCAAACTAACTACGTGGTGTCCTTGAAGTCCTCGCGAAGGTTGTGGTCGGAGGATTTGTACCTAACTAACTACGTGGTGTCCTGGAAGCCCTCGTGAGGGTTTCTGTCCGAGGGTTTGTACCTAACTAACTACGTGGTGTCCTGGAAGTCCTCTTGAAGGTTGCGGTCTGGGGGTTTGTTCCTAACTAGCTACATGGTGTTCTGAAAATCCTCGTGAGGGTTGAGGGCGCAGTATAAAAGCCTACCTAATTACATGGTGCCCTGGAAAGCCTCGTAACGTTTGCGGTTTGAGGGTTTGTACCTAACTAGAAACATGGTGTCCTGGAAGTCCTCGTGAGGGTTGCGGGCCCAGAGTTAGTATCTACCAAACTACATAGTGTTGTTAAAGTCCTAGTGAAAGTTGCGGGCCGAGGGTTTGTACATATCTAATTGCATGGTGCTCCGGAAGATCTCGTGAGGGTTGCGGACCCAGGAAATATACCTACCTAACTACATGGCACCCTGGAAGTCCTCGTGGGGGTTGCGGGGCGGCTGTTGCTCCAACACTTCCTCGTTCATGTTACTGATGGTGCTACATGAGATGTTGGCCTCCCCTGTGTAATGGACAATCTCGCCGTAACCGTTGGTGGAGCGGGCCTCGTGACTGTGCCACAATCCGTACGAAAAGTAGATCGTTAATCCTACAACACACACATATACACATACCGAATTAAAAATCGAAAACAACAAAAATTATCTTTAAAAAAATGAACGCTTAAATGTTTATGTTAAACAAATCTAAAGCTTAAATAACGTATTAGGACCGACAATGCTTATCGTTCAAATTGAAATAAGTCAAGTTAAAATAGATCATATCAAGTGTCTAGGGGACTGCAAAAGTGAAACCGCTGTTATTCCTGCGATAGTTATACATCTATACTTCTGATGAAAGATGCAACGCATTTTAAGATCAGGTAAAAATAAAACAAAAATCCTATTTCGTAGAAAAACGAAAATTTTGAAAATATTGATCTTTTTAACTCTTTAAAGACAATGCAAACGTGAACCTATAATTCATGAACTTCGAAAAATTGAGACTTCATGTAGGATTGTGACGCCAAATAGACAAACGTCTCGGCTATTATGACGTCACAAATGATATTGCCCCTTGTTATATACGTTTTCACGCTAAACAGAGCAAATTCTTGTTTTCTCAGTGAATAAGTTTTATTTCTTCAGTGGGGTTAACGATTTGATATTATGTTGCTCATCATTCACCAAGAATATTATGTTAATTAGGATTATCTTTATAAAGACATTGCTTAAAGGAAAATAATAGCCACCTTTCCAACGGTATTAAGCATTTTCTCGTAGATCAACTAGAAATGTTGTTTATGATGAAAGGAAGCTAGATAGGGTCGTACATATGATCATTGGGGTGTCATTTTTTACCGAAAGTCGATATAAACCCCTAAAACATGTAAAATCCTCTGAACACCTTAGTTTAGATCCTGCTATTCAATTGGCCAGTTCACAGTGAAAATAGCAAATGAAGCAGTCACTGTAAAAAAAGTACTCAACTTTAAAGAAAATGTATGCTAAGATATCGCGGAACTGATTTAAATAACGTTTCATTAATCCCTTTTATCATTCATCAATATTTGAAAATATTTACATAAAATACTGATACTTAAATGTCAAAAAACCATTTCCACACATTATGATACATATTTCACATTTAGTTTCTGATCAGACAGCAGATTGTAGGGATATGTGATGGACAGTGACAGATGAAAAGGACGCCGGGAACAGGTGCCGAGTGACAAGATAATATGATTGCAAACTGTGAATTTCATTTCGTTATATTTTAATCGAGTGGAGCGGGTATGTTGTGGCGCGTGCTGTTGCGCGTGCAGTTTGTGGTTTTGTCGAGGTTTTACCTGTATTCGTCATCGACGAGATTGTTATCGAACCATTTATTTTTTTAATTACTTTTGGTGGGTTTTTTGTCATGCTGTATCTTAAGTATGTCAGACAATAGTAATTACTTTTTTCAGTGGTTTATATAAATGATCTGTACATGAAGTTAATTATGGTATTTCTGTTGTAGAATTGGATTATAATTGTGAATCTTCAGTTTCAACGTTCCAGGACTTACTCGGAAACGTGCCAGTGGACTTTTCAGACTATGGACTTTAAAGGCGTGTTCCGAAGTGGGCCTTGGCTTCGTGATTCTTTGTAGACGTATTTTATGTATATGGGAGCATTCGATAATGAGCTGTTGTGTGTTGTGTGTGGAATTTTGCATAGACTGGTTTCATCATAAATGTTTTTCAATATGCAATATCTAACGTCCGATAACGGAGATATTATTACTTTGTAACAATCCCGTAATGCTAATTATAGTTTATAAAGAATTTCTGTCATGTGTTCTTATTTGAATTGAAATATTTAGAGATGAGAAGACAACAAATCTCTCTTAGAATTATCGAATCACCCTACATGCAAGCGTAGCAATCGGGAACCGTCGGCACTTTCCGTAAACGATAGGAGTTCAAAGTTCAAGTAGCGCAAGAAACGTCTAAAATAACTAGCTGCATTTCAACTGAAAGCAAAGTCGCGCAGTTTCCATCTTCGAAATTCAAGTGTATCTTACGTTCTCTGCACCCTGTTATGTGTCATAACACAATTGAAAGTCCTGTATGCACACCATGCGTATGATACAAGTACATTTAAGCTAGTCTGTTCATTGATGTACATCAAAGAATCGCGAGGTAGCATAACGGAAAAATTTACTGGCTTAGAATTCGGATGTCGCTTCTCTGTAATTTTGCATTGACATGTATCAGCCTAGCAATTGACCAGAGTTTGTTCATCAATTTATCATTTTATCATTTATCGATGCCCCATCCAGCTGATCCCACCTTCGACCCAAGAAGTAATATTTTTTCACCGTTTGAGGTATTTTCTAGAAATGAAATATCAATCCACTTCCCTTCAGACCTCAATGAAAATGGAGGGGGTTGTTGATAATGTATCTCCGTGATCAATCAGCACCACTTCTTTGCTCTTACAAATTTAGTATCTGCAAACGGCTGCCAAATAACGGCAGAAAATAGTTGAATATTACAACCATATTTCAAACCCACAGAAGCTATAGGTTTGGAAAAAAACGGAAAGCACACTGCTTGTAAAGTTTACCTAACTAGATTGTCCAACTTTTAAAATGTGCCCTAAGCAAAGCTATGCAATTGCTCGTAAATCCATTGAAATAAAATCCTTTTTTTTTAACTGTAATTTTAATGGAGGATTTATGTTCTTTGAATATTTTCAAAATAACAGTTTCAAAGCCTGCAGCCTTGTAAAAACAGTGGAAAATAAAGTATATAATTTATCCATTAATATTTATATCATTGACAGATCAGAACCCATACTGATTCAAAACGAAAATACTATATTTCCATTCAATAAGCGTTCAATGTCCAAACACAATGCTCGTCAGTAAGAAGGCATTGTCGATCGCCAAGGTAACGGGATCGGATACCTATCGATTCTACATACAGACAGATACTATCAGTGACTCCCGGGAGACAACACATCGTCCTGTCCAGCGAGATCCAATCAGCTACCAATTACTCTTCATTAGGCTGACGTGTATCTCCTCTGAAAACCTATTACAGACTTCCTGTTCATAGTAGCTATCACTTGAATCAGCATGTCAGATCTATATATAGTAACACTCTTAGAGTTAGATTATCATATAATATTTGTATCGGCCTTATTACCGCTCATGCAGGTTCGGGGAAAAAATAGGCCTGTTGTATCCCATGCATGTCGTTAAAGGCGATTTACGTAGCATACATTTGGTATTTCCTATATACAGGTAAGGTGTTGGGTGTATGCTAGGTGAGATTTGGAAATCAGGAAAAGATAAAACAGCATTCAGTCAACTGCTATTTTATCAGTTAAAATTTATAGATGATGCATTACAGAATTTTAAACAATCTTTGATATTAATATAAGTTGATGAGGCTTTACTTGATCAACAACAATTTAAGATTTTAGTTCCATGCAGGCTAGTACTGTACCTTTTATAATAAATGTAAAATCGTTATTATTTTAAGGTAAAATAAATGTATCCTTTTTATTTATTTTTTGATATTTGTTTTTCATCTACTTCCACGTGTCATTATAATTCTGTACCAAGAAATTTGAATATTTCTCTGATATAAGTTTTTAATAATAATTTGTATTACACTACCATCTACATCATTTTGAAACAGACTATAACCAAATTGCTATCAGGTGTGAAAATTGAAATGTATGCTAGGTGAGACTAGGTATTTTAGAAATGTATGCTAGGTGAGACTAAACCGTGCGTTTGCCCAAAGTGGGATAGGCAATGGTTTCTGTCCCCAGGCCGGGACATACCAAAGTCGGATACGCAATGGTTTCTGTCCCAAGGCCGGGCCATACCAAAGTGGGATAGACAATGGTTTCTGTCCCCAGGCCGGGACATACCAAAGTCGGATACGCAATGGTTTCTGTCCCAAGGCCGGGCCATACCAAAGTGGGATAGACAATGGTTTCTGTCCCCAGGCCGGGACATACCAAGGTGGGATAGGCAATGGTTTCTGTCCCCAGGCCGGGGCATACCAAAGTGAGATAGGCAATGTTTTCTATCCCCAGGCCGGGACATACCAAGATGGGATAGGCAATGGTTTCTGTCCCCAGGCCGGGGCATACCAAAGTGAGATAGGCAATGTTTTCTATCCCCAGGCCGGGACATACCAAGGTGGGATAGGCAATGGTTTCTGTCCCCAGGCCGGGACATCCCAAAGTGGGATAGGCAATGGTTTCTGTCCCAAGGCCAGGACATACCAAAGTGGGATAGGCAATTGTTTCTGTCCCCAGGCCGGGACATACCAAAGTGGGATAGGCAATGGTTTCTGTCCCAAGGCCGGGACATACCAAAGTGCGATAGGCAATGGTTTCTGTCCCAAGGCCGGGGCATACCAAAGTGAGATAGGCAATGTTTTCTATCCCCAGGCCGGGACATACCAAGGTGGGATAGGCAATGGTTTCTGTCCCCAGGCCGGGACATACCAAAGTTGGATACGCAATGGTTTCTGTCCCAAGGCCGGGACATACCAAAGTGGGATAGGCAATGGTTTCTGTCCCCAGGCCGGGAAATACCAAAGTCCATAAAATTCGTAGTTGTGATTCCCTGCTAAACGTTCGGCATCCTTAAGGGTAATGGCAACAACTGGTTCACACGTTGTCAGTGTAATGTGACTTAGTGGAGTGCTGTGCTGGGTGCGTTCGGCATGAAATTTCAGCGAGGTAGCACTCCAAAGTCAGCACATCAGATCTGCACTATCGCAAGGAGGCAATTACATCAACATAGCCTGCAACCAGCACACATACACACCAGCGCACATACATTACACACACATACACACCAGCGCACACATACACACACACAAGCACACATACACACACACACCAGCACACACACACACCAGCACACACACACACCAGCACACATACACAACACACACACACACACACCAGCACACATACACAACACACACACACACACACCAGCACACATACACAACACATACACACACACACCAGCACACATACACACAGCACACATACCCACCAGAACACATACACACAGCACAAAAACACACAG